GCTTTGAGAAGCTTAGGGTTTTTTATGTAACTGTATTGTAAGAACTTAAATAGTGTAAGAACTTAATATTTCAAGAACTTAAATATGAGCTTAAATAGCTCATAGAAAGGCAAAACTGTATGTGTGAAGAAGAGTCTAGCCTCTACTTTTAATTTCATAGTTGGCTAAATCACTAAAACAAAAAGCATCTTGAACAGTTTAGGAGCAAAATAGAAGGAGTAAAATCAAATGCTGTTTGGTTTCATAGCCATTTGACTCAGAAGAACAGATGATAAAATGGACATTTGATAAGGTACCAACATCTCAGAATCTTGTTGTATCATGCTGAAGCTGTGATGGCAGCAATAATTCTCAGCTTTCTGTCCATGTGTGTGTGCAGAAAAGGATTTTTTCCCCAGAGGAAGCAAGCAGACAGCTTTTTCTTCATATACATATATATATATATATATATATTCTCCTGAAATCTGAGAGCCCTGTCTAGCATGCATCTGGGATGTATTTGTAATTACTCTGGAAATGAAACCACTTACAGTGTTTTTTTCTCTTTCTGTATCTTTACAAAAAATGTCTTCATTGGGCAGCAAAAATCATGCATTATTTCAAGGATGTTAGCCTACTGTAAATAAAGCAAAAAACTGTGTATAAGCCTAGCAGAAGTAGCATTTAGAGTTATGTGCCACTTTGAAGACACGACAGAATTTAAACAGAATATCACTGTGTATGGAGAAGAGGTCAGTATTCATTTTAAGTAGGATTAAGTACAATAAGAAAAGCCTTCTTTGGATAAATAACTCACCACCCTATAAAGAGGCCAGCAATTGCAGAAGAAGCTTCCTCTTAAAATCTCTTGTGTTCAGGCTGGGGAGGAGATTTCCACTGAGAACATTAATTTTTCTTTGGCTTTCAAAATAACGAGGATTGCTGGAGTTGGGAGTATATGTCCATAGGTAAAACTGTAGCATGCAGAGGAAAGGAAAAATAAGAAACCAACGGAGAGAAAGCAGGAGAAGAGCTAGAGTATAACAGCAGCAGAGGACAAGTGAGTGATTTTTCCATTTCAGCTTTTATCCCTTTGTTCTTTTATTTTGACTTTCATGCTCTTCTTGTTTACTAATTGTCACAAAATTTATAGTATTAGAAGCAAATTAAAAAAAGCCACAAAGCCTGGGCTTTTAGTACATTGTATGTGAGATTAGTCTAGAGCCTGCAGGAACTGTTCTGAGTTACTAATACTGAACTTGCATTGATTCATTCCTTTGTTTCCCTTTTTAAAAAAAAAACTTTTCTGGTAAAACACAGTAACAGAAAGAAACTTCCAATTTTTAATTTCATTCAGGTAATTAGTGATATAGGTGATTTTTAGAACTTCCCTGGAAGACAGTTAATTGTGAGGGATTCTTAATTACTTAAATGACCTACCAAGGAGGAAAAAATACAAGAGGAAACTTAATCTGATACTTGCTCATAATGGTCTGATGCTGTAGAGTTGGAGTGAAATGTGTGTGTTTGTACATTTATATGTATCTTATACTTTAAAAGAACAAGCTTGACAGTGAAGGCCACTGAAACTGCTTTGAGGTGTAGTGTTTACTATAGGTAGAGCTGCTAGTGCCACCTGTACTTAAGGTTGTGTGACCCTTTATATTTCAAGGCTTAACTCTTAGTTACTTTCTAACTTTTGCCAGAGTTCGGTTCAAACAGATTTTTCCATGCCAGATAGATATCTGCTTTGGGTTGAACTTTTTGAAAGTTTCAACCAAAACAGTTCTGTTCCAAGAATAAGGCCAGTGAAAAGTATGCTATTTTGTTTGTGTGAGAATATTCTGGTGTCCTTCTTTGATGCTCCAGTGCCCCCAAGCTCTGAAGCAAGGATTTGAAATTTGGCAATAGTTCAGCCTTTGTGTTGAGAATGTGTCTTTTGCCTCCCTGTAAAAATCCACCCAAATTTCCAGACCGGTTTACAAGGCTTTGAAAGATTGCCATTTGCATGGGCTTAATAGGAATTTCTTAAAACTTCACAGTAAGCTTCCTTTAGATTTTGTTCACACTGGGAATGCTCCAGGCAGGGTAGAGCTGCATATTTCATCCCACTTCTGCTAGGAATTTTAACAGCTGGATCTGGGTGCTGACACTGAACTGAGAGTGGGCAGCATTGTGTCTCTTATCACCACTGCCTATTCCCATGCCCTCTTCCTTTTCCCTGGTGATGGACCTGGGCCCTCTGGAAAAGAAACTGTCTCATTCATCTGGAAGAGCATGACAGATGTGGAGGAGAAGAATTTAAGACCCCGTGTGTGTGTGTGTATCTGGCAAAATATTACTTCCTTTTGTACTGGATGTTCAGATAACAGGAGTTAGGTTTTGTTGCATTTAAACTTCAGTTTAAATGTTGAGTGGGTATCAAGATTTTAACAAACTACATAGGCATCAACTTAATAAAAAAATACTCAAATGTCACAGGGCAGGAATGTTATTCAGAGGGCAGAAATCTAGAGCTCATTTTTTCAAACACTTAAGTCTAACTGATCTCTTGCATGTACTACATTGTAGTGCAACCTCCAACTTCCTCACAAGCGTCACGTTTTGTTCAACAGACAGCTATTTGATTGGAATGGGTAAAGGGGTTTATTCTGAGGATGAGTCCAGGATTTGTACAGTAAAGTATGTATATTCATCTGTTACAGAAGTTGATAAATGTAGAGTAAGTGAAGTCAAGATTTTTTTGGGGAAAAAAAAAAGGCTTTGTGGCTAAGACAGTTAAATGCTGCTTGATGAATTGTGTGCCATCTGTGCTTAGTTGTGGTATTTCTACGTGATGCACTCAAATAACTTCCTAGGTGGCTGCTCATACTATGTGTTCTAGTGGCTGGTTTGAGAACTCATGTCAGGTTGTGGAAATGCAGACACTTAGAACTGCAGGTAAAGTCAGTGGGAGCTAATCCCTCTGTAAAATCCTGTCTTTTACTGAGGACAGTAAAAACCAACTTGGTCTGGAGCCAGGGAACCTTTTAATCCAATCAGTTGCCAGTTTTATGGGTGAAAAAATTACTTGACCCATCTCTGTAGAGAGGTTCAGAAAGAAATTGGTTACCTTTGTTGCCTTTTTGAACTGAAAAATAACACACTATAAATAGAGCATATAACCCCCTCCCTTGATTAGGGATGAAACAAAGCATTGATAAGCATGTAATAAAAAATCCATGTAATAAGATTCAAGTATATTTTTACATTAGTGAAATTACCTTTGCAACTTTTAACTTTCCCATGCTTCCCTTTGTGAGCCTCATAATTCTTTTAAAATAAAAGATGTGATTTTTCTCTGTGAATTTAGTACTAGTTTAATAAAATATTAGTAGAATCCTCATCCTTCCTGTTTGCTGTGGTGGTGGAAAGCATACTTGCTCAGGCTGTTTACTGCTACCTCACCATGATGAATCTGCCCTTTGTAAAGTTCCTCAACATTACATCATTTTTTTATCACTTTGTAGAGCCATTACCTGAAGTTTCCTATTAAAAAAAAAAAAAAAAAAAAAAAAAGAGAGAGAGAGAGAAGAAAAGGGATTTGTAGGCTTTTTGAAAGGGACAGGTTACAACAAATAAGTTACTATGTGTTTGTGGAAGTGTCTAGCTCCCAGAGGGAAATGATTTGCTGCTAAGGTTTAGTGAATTTAATACTTTGGAAATTATTTGTTGGAGAGTCTGCAGCAGTGGAGAGTTTTGGGTTGGGGTTTTTTGTTTTCTGGTGGGTTTTTTTATAACTTTTTTTTAAGGAGGAGGTGGCAGAGATTTTTTTGGTTGGTTTCTTTTAGCTTAAAGTAATCATCAGATTTTTTTACTTGTTTCTTGGGTCATTCTCAGGGTGTTTGCTGCCTCTGAACCAGTAGCTCTTTTGAAAGCTTCAGCATAAACAAGGTATTTAACAGGATGTGTCATGTAGTATTTGCAGGAGAAAGATGGGAATTTTGAGCTGCTCAAAGCACATACATCTTCCTTAGAGGAACTCTGCTGCGAAGACCAACAGTCTTATTTGCTTAGCTGTGTGAAACCCACTTGCTTGTGGACAATTGTTTTGTGTCTTGTTTTTCTTCCCCCCCGCAAGACTTCTGCTTCCTTGTGTGCTCTTCCCATGTGTGTTTTGAGCTGTGCTTTGAAGTTGGGCAACTAGCTTGAAACAAAAGCTTTTACCACACTTCTGCATAGCATCTAGCTTGATTTCAGCAATCTGACATGTCAGTGATGTGGTTTAGAGTTAACAGAATGCTATTCTTTGCTGGCTTTTACATTGGTTTGTGTAGGATTAAAATTAAAAAAGAAAAAATAATTATATCACACTGGGTATGTTGTATAAGAACCACGTCAAAATGGGATTAGAATGCGATTTGTCCATTTGGCTGTGCAGCAATTACTAATTGACCAGGCATCTGTCTTGACACATGGGTGACATGAAGTTTATGAGGTATCTTATATTTTTTCCTCTGTCACCTTCCTTTTCCTCCTCCCCAGTCCTCTTAATAATCTAAGGAATTTCCAAAAACCCAGACTTTGTGTACATTTAGCTTCCTACATAAGTCATTCTAGTATATTTTAGTTCAGAGTGCCTAGATAAAACAAATTAGGATGCATGTTTTCTGTTGTCTTTGAGCAATGTGCTTCAGTAACAGGATCCAAATAGTACTGCTTTGACTTTCTTGAATTTATTCTGAACTCTGTATTTTTTTTTATATTAATTTTTGTTTTAAGATTAGGGCACAAAATGAAGAGTAGATTCTGAAAGGTCAAAGCAACCTCAACTGCAGTCAACCAGATTAATTTGTATCCAATTACACGAGCAGTAAATTAGCTACGAATTCTCAACCGTACTATTTCAAATTAACTTGAAAAAACAACTAAAATTTGATTTGCAAGACTCTGCTTTATGAAACGGGTTTAAGATGTGATCATTTATAGTAAGTATGTTAACTGACTCTGAATGTTTGGCTTTTCTGTCTTGTTTTTGGCAGCAACTTGAACTAGTGGAACCAAGTGGCTGGATTCACGTTCCTCTGACAGACACTCACAAGAAGCCAATTCGCACCTTCATGATTCAAATTGCTGTTCTAGCTAATCACCAGAATGGAAGGGACACTCACATGAGACAAATCAAAGTGTACACCCCGGTGGAAGAGAGCTCCATTGGTAAATTCCCTCGATGTACAACAATTGATTTCATGATGTATCGCTCCATAAGATAGAGCTTCCTACGGAGAAATAATAAAGGCCTTTTTTTTGACTGCAGTATCATTGCTAAAGTATTCAGATACTTAAAGAGCAGGATTTACTTCAGTGTGATTGTATCTTTTATGTTTATACTTTGTACAATTTTGAAATAAAGATAATACTGTGTTACAATATATTGTAGTCTGTAATTTTGCATAACTTGTCCTTGCAGTCTGAGTGCTCTTGTATTATCTGAGAGGAAAAAAATCCCAGACACTTTTAAAAGAACATATTTGACTGGGAATCAGTAATTGATTTAATATAGGCATTTTTGGAGAGTGATTTCTTCCCCTAATGATTATGCCTGGAAATAGTTTGTTCTACAGTGCTCCTGTTTGTTCTTTTACCTAAAAGGTGCTCATTTTAAAGAGCATTCTTCTTGAATAAGACATGGTTTAAAGACACTGCCAGTAGTGTTTTCCCATCATTGTTTATGCTAATATGTTATACCCTTTTCTGTATAGGATTGCTTCTGCTTAATGGCTGTCTGGATGGATTTAGCTTTCTTTGTAAGTGCCAAATAGATCCTAGAACCATAGAATATCTCAAGTTGGAAGGGATTTAAAAGGATCAGCGAGTCCAACTCCCTTCTTCTTCCCTTCTAAAACTAAACCATATGATTTAAGAGCATTGTCCAGATGCTCCTTGAACTGTGACAGGCTCAGTGCCATGACCACTTCCCTGGGGTGCCTGTTCCAGTGACTGGTAACAATAATGTTTAGTATATACATTATTATAGATATGAGTATGTCATTATTATATGATAGCTGTTCAAAACAGGAGGAGAGTTCAGAATGCTCTGACATCCTACAGTAATGTAGGAGTGAATTTGGAACCCAATGAACCTCTACAGTACTGAGAACTCAAGTGTATAACACAAGATAATCTCAGACTCATAGCACAGAATTTTTTTAATGTGTTTTAAAGTAAAGAGCATTGCAAGGAAAATGCAGGCTTTGTCTACTTGCTTGTGAGTAGGAATATCTAACACCTTTACTAATGTCTCCTAATTACTAGTTATTTAATCTTTTAAAAAATTGAGGAGATTTTAGAAAGAAAGGTTGTTGAAGTACAAGGGTTTCTATTGCAATGTTCAACACTGATCAGACCTGTCCCTCCTAGCACTGTAAAAGCTGATGGTCAATCCAGACTAATCTCAGCCAAGGAAAACTTTTGACACTTCTTAATTGTGAGTGAGGAAAGGCTACTAATATAGGAGGCTCATCAAACAGTGATAAGGTTGTCAAAGAAGGGTGAAGATTTAGCTGTTGAAATCATTTATATACCTCACAAAGCTGTTGTTGACTGAAAAGTTTTGTCTATGGCTGAATTCTGCAGTCTTTAGGAGGGTCATTGAGCAGGGCATTTAGTGATGATGAACCTTGTAGAAAAGTGCATGACTAGTTTGAGTTTTCTATTTAAATGTGGATTCAGTCATTTCACGAGGCCTTTAATGGTAGTTTAGCTTTCCATGTATCAACTGCAGAATTCCTGCTCAGCAGAATCTGGTCTAACTCATGCCTTTCACCAAGTCTGTCAGTCCAGTGGATTTTATTTTATATAGTGTAAAGGACTGGTTCATTGCTATTCACTTAAGCAATGGAAGCAAAATATGTACCATTTCATATTTTTCTGTTAAAAAAACAACTCCCTCTCCCCCCCGGATTTATTTATCTAGTTGTTTTCGATAAGTTATGGATAGACTTGTAAGAAAGGAAATTATTAGGTGTGGAATTTTCCTAGTTTTCCCCCGAAGTTAAAATGGCCATTGTTTATTTTAGCTTTCTATTTTCAAGCCAGTGATTCTACCACAGACAATTCTTTGGTAATTCTGATCTTTGGTCAGTAACATTTATCTTTTAATTGAAAGAAACTTTAAAGTATTCTTTTCTCTTAGATATCACTTGTAGGGTGAATTGTAAGTTAATATTTCTCTGTGACAAACATTATCCAGTAAACTAGGAAAAAGCACGTCAGCACAGTCTTGTTGGGCCTATTTCCTCCCTGCCTTATTTTTGTAGGCATCATTTTTGGATCTTTAGAGAGCTATTCTTGCTTTTACTGGTTTTTTTTCAGGGCTCTGATGTTCATACATTTAGATGGTTTCTAAATTGTTACTTCTGACAGTCTAGTTGAATAAACTGAAACCTAGCTTGAATACTTATCCTGCTCTTCCAAAATCCTAGATGGTGTTCTAGCGGTTTTAAAAACCTGTGGATACCCCTGTTAAACAGGATGATGCTAAGCTTTACTGTTGAGGAGGGAATCTGTACTTGCAAATTAAATTTAATGTAGGGGGTTTTTTGTAGATATTAAAGTGTACAAGGTTCTGTAAAGGTTAAGGCTACAGTTACACTTTGTTCTTCTGTCACCACCAGATCCGGTCTGAAGCTGCACATTCCCATATTTTGTTTCTCCTTTATTGCCAGCAATTACCATCCCCATGGTTGAACCTCTTCAGATGCTTCCATTGCTGTTCACTAAACAGTTGGATCCTCAGTTCTTCCTTGGCCCTTTAAAATAAGTATAGTCTTAGTATTGGGTGAAAGCAAGTAATCTGTGGTCAGACCCTGGGAGTGAACAGAGTTGTGATGAAGAGAGTGGGAGCAGATTAAAAGGGAGAGTGCAACTACTGACTCCTTCAACTGCTGCTGGCAAAATTACATGTGACCATGCCTGAAAGACAGTATAAAAATGCAAACTCATTTGATGTTCAGTGTCACTTGGAAACGAGTGCAGTGGCCATTGTAGACCCATATTAAGTATTTTCTGTGTTGCTTTGTAACAGTTGTGTATACATTGCTTTGGTATTTAACATCTGTGGAATTACATTCGATTTTAACATTTTTGGTGCCTGGTTACATAGGGCTCCTGACTTTTTCAGCAATGAGATCTTGGATGACTGTGTCTGAACATAAAGCAGCAAGTTACTGCCGTTGTGTATTAATACAATGCTTAGTATTTGATTTGGGACAAACAAACTGGTCTGCCAAATCATTGCAGGAAGTTCCTACACATGTGCATTGTTTTTAGCTGCTACTTTTTTTCCATGATCATTATTTTCAGACACACAGTTGTCTGGAACCTTACCACTCTCTCTTTTATAAGAAACATCTGATAAATACTGATTAGTAGAAGTAATATTGAAATAAATGACAGACAAGATGGAAGATGTATTTGTTCTAAGAAATCATGACTTGGCAGTCATCTAAATCATTACTTCAAATAGGAGTAATTTAGGGATTTTAAAACTTCTTGTTGAAGATACCATACTAGGCCTTTCTGCCTTGCAGAACAGAAGTTTGATTCCTCATACGAGTGAAAAAACCCTTCCTTTTAATTAAGCTTTAGCTTATTTCTTTTGTAGACACTAAGAATAGAGAGGTAACTGAGGGCCCAGGATCTTGAGGAGCTCCTGTTGAAATAAACAGGAGTAACTGTGTTTTGATTAAGTCATGTCTGTGTATCTTCTTAGCAACACAGTGTAAACAAAAAAGGCAGATGACAGGAGAGGAAGAAAAGAGGTATTTGCTGCTCCTGGTTTCTAAAATGGAGAACAGCAAAACATTTATGTTTTGTTTAAGCTCACATAAGGAATCTCTGGCAGAGCTGAAAGTTGAAGCCATATCACCATTGTCCATCTTCTCTTTCACTGTGAAGCTGATGTTCAGATAATTATGCTGTTTTAAAGACAAATTTTTCAGTAATGCAATTTCTGTATGTAATTCCATTTTGAAATTTAAACTCTATTTTGGCTTTTGCTGCTCTAGTTTAGTCTGTAGGGGAGATATTTTTGCCATCATGCTGACTATAGATGCACAACTCTTCAGCTGCTTGCTCTTACCTTACCAAAAAGGCATAGCATACTTTTTAGTGAAAGAGGGATAAGCTGCCTTAGATTTTATATGGGACACTTGATGAGATCCGTAGTAGCTTACAGTCTGGTTTGAAGAGCTGTGTACATGCCATTTTTCCATGCTTTGTTTGGTGTAAATGTAGAATACTGGACTTTTATTGATTTTTTTTTTTTTAATAGCTGCCCTGTATATGAGGCTTCAGGTGTCTCTCACACAGACAGTTACTTAGACATGAGTGACCTGAGTAAAGCGTCACTTGTCAGTCAGTTCTCTAGTTACCCTGATCTTCACAGATAGGCATGCTGCTAAGCTGGGGTGTGCTTGGAGCTGTAATTCAAGCTTGAGTTAGTGATAACCCACCATGAAGACTCAGACTAGATGTTTACTGAACAGTTGGCATGTAGGTACCTGTCTGAGAATCAAAGGCTTAATCTGCCATGAACGCAGTATGAGAGATGGACTGAAGTGAGTTTTAACTGTTGCTACTTGTTTTTCTTCATCTGTGTTAAAACAGTTTAAGGGAAGTAATTGAAACGTTATTTAGGCTTGAAATCTGTTTATATACTAGAGAGAGAGCCAGCTGTTCAGATCACCATCTCTGATTAGCAGAAATGCGCAAAAATGCGTTAACTTGTGCATAACAAATGAAGTGATGGAAGAGACTGAAGGACCATGGAGAGCTACCAGTTAGTGGCAAAGCAAGCCATTACTTGACGTAATAGAGCAAGCCACACTTCTAGGCAGCAGGCCATTGCTAGAACAATCCCCACCTTTCTCAAAGCAATAGCCAGGAATAATTGTAGATGTTTGGACTCAAGAACTGCAAGTGAAACAGATGCTCAGGCAATTTATGCCTGCACTTGTTGAAGTAAGTTGGGTGCTACAACCCCAAGTACCACTTGAAGAAAGCCAGAGTGACAAGACTGGATCTAGTAATCAGAGCTGGATTGTATTACATCCTATAAAGAATGAAGGAGAGTCAGAAGCTGGTGGAGTAAACTTCTCAGGAAATCACAAAGACTTTAGACATTTGTCAACCATAAATATGTGTCTTTGTTCCACTTTACTCTGCACTGGTGCAGCCTCACATTGAGTACGGTGTGCTGTTTTGGCACCACAATAGAGAAAAGACATTAGGCTCATAAAGAGTGTCCAAACAAGGGCCACGAGGATGGTGAAGGACCTTGAGGGGAAGCCATGAGAGGGAGCGGCTGAGGGCACTGTTCATCTTCAGGGAGAGGAGACTGAGGGGAGACCTCACTGCAGTTACAACTTCCTCATGAGGGGAAGAGGAGGGGCAGGCACTGATCTCTGCTTTATGGTGACCAGTGACAGCACCCAAGGGAGTGGCCTGAAGTTATGTCAGCGGAGGTTCAGCTTGGGTATCAGGAAAAGGTTCTTCCCCCAGAGGGTGGTTGGGCACAGGAACAGGCTCCCCAGGGAAGCGGTCACAGCACCGAGCCTGCCAGAGTTCAAGAAGCATTTGTACAAGGCTCTCGGGTACATGGTGTGACTCTTGGGCTGTCCTGTGCAGGGCCAGGAGCTGGACTCGATGATCCTGATTTGTCCCTTCCAATCCTGCATATTCTGTGATTCTTTGTTTCAAAATGGTCAGTGGGTTTTTCTATAAGCCATATTTTCAGGATGGATCTGGATTAGTAATATACAAAGCAAGAGTTCATTGCTCTGACAGATCTAAATGTTATCACTGTTACTGTGTTTTGATATGCAAATGAATTATGGAGATAATTTTTAGTGGATGTTTTTCTTGAATTTACCAACCAGCTCTGCAGCTTTAATAGAATACATCTGAATTCTTCGGAATCATTGGAGTGACATCAGCATGTAGAGAAATACAGTTTTGGGGCTCTGAAGAGTATGTGGTTGTTATAATGTGCGGTAGAGTGCTGTGTTTCAAGAGCCCGACTTGTTTAATTAGTGGTAGCCTTTTGGCTCTTATTCCTGAATTTTGTCATGTGTTAATTGTTAATTAACACTGATGCATTGATTACAAGAATACTTTGTATTCCTTTGCATGTATACACAAAATAGCTGTTTATTTAATATTTAACTACCACAATATTTTACTCCTTTAATTAAAGGCAATGGGGTTTTGCTGGAGCATGAGATAATAATCTAAATGCAATTAAAATGTTCGTAGTATTAAGAGCATGTCCCTCCAAAGATGGAATTGCTGAGGCTTCCAGGCAAAGGTATTGGGTGGTCTGCTGTTGGTTTGGAATACTTAAGTGTTCTGTTTTAGATCAGAAAGGTGTTAAGGTGCTTTTGTAAAGCTGCACAAACCATCATTAAACATTCTTCATGGAAGTAAATTTTAAATAATTCCTCATGTGACATATTTGCTGTAGTTCAGGCTGACATTTCAACGAGCTGTTTTACGTCAGCCTAACAATTAGCTGTGACAGTTTCTCCATTTGCACCAAAGAATAAACATCTCTTGCAGCCAGTCAACAGTATTAGTGTGGTTTAGTTTAATGGAAGAGTAGAAAAACAACAACCCCAAAACCCAAGTAATGAAAATTATGCTAATACTTGATGCTGCTAGAGGATATAATCCAGACATAATTACATATGAAATGAGAAAGTAAATTTTGGATCACTGAAAACATTAAATACCTGAACTCTGATCCCACTGAAGTGAATTACCACTATTAATTATAGTAGGGAACAGTTTAGCCAATATTTAATGCTTTAATTCATGTAGATTAAATAGGATCAGTGACTTCCTAGTTATATAGATTAAAAAAAGGTCAACCTGGTGAATGTTTTGAAAATTGCTTTCTCAAATGCTTCTTTCAATATACAAAACTCCTATAGGAGTAATTTCCAGACATGTGCAATGTAACATTGAACATGTCATTTTAAAATTGGAAGGTAAAAATCCCTTGTATAAGATGAAAGCATCAGAGCTCTGCAACACTTCTGATTTGGGACAGTTTATTTAATTCAGGGAAATAACCTCAAAAGAAATTATAACATGAGTAAAAACATTTAAACCTAATATAAATTTAGTTGATTAATAAATTCAAACAAAATGAGATTTGTTAAAAAAACCCACTCTTCTAACTGAAGGTGCTACTGAATTAAAAGGATTATTTAACATTCTTGAATGTTTAATATTATTCCTGATAAGGCTGATATTACCAGGGTGAAACCATCTAGCTTACAAAATGGACCAAACAAAATACCTAATGGCTGTTTCATTTCAAGATTTACCATATTTTTGTACTGGAGTTTCACATTATCTGTAATCTGAAGCAGCAGAGGAGAAAGTGTCTATAAATTTGATTCTCATTCACCCTAGAAAAAGCACAATCGTGACAAGCAATGTATTTATGAGAAAGTAATGTTTAGGCATTGTAATTAGAAAACACCTAGTGAAAGGAATTGTCTTGTTTTCTACATTTGTGCATTTCCTTTAAAAATGCCTTTATCACTTCATTTGAACTGCTTAGAAAACTGAAGTGAAAAGTGAGCCATTAAATTCTTACCTCTCTTTCACAAAAGGTTTTATTTATCTGTTTTTCTACACAGCTGCTTCAGGTTGCTCTCCTGCTGCCATTGAAAAATCTGTGTAAAGTAAATAGGTGTTCATTCTGGTGCTTCAGAGTAGAATCTTTAATCGGGGACACACCTCCCTGAAGAGAATTTCCACTCTTGGGAATAATAAGCCCTCAGAATCTAATTCTTCTATTGTCTTTCAATTCACATTTATGTTTTCTTGGGTGTGATTTTTGTTTTTTAAAAAATGTTTTATCTTTAAACCCAGTGTAATTTTTTATATAAGACCTACTGCTAGACCAGGATCTTGTGACAGCTTGTATTCAGTATTAAAGCTTATTCTACTTTTAGTAAAGACTAGCTTTAAGTATTTCAAATGTTAGACTTTATCTGTTGCAGATACTACTTGCCATAATTTGGCAGTTGACAGTGTAGAATTTACAGCACTTTCTAAAGTTACATTTTTCCATTGGAAAACCACCAATGTGATTGTTAGTTTAAAGGGACAAATGTTTAAACCAAACCCTTAGTGTGTGGAAAAGCTTACAGGCTATTGTTAATTTTCTAGCAGAGCTAGGTAATCTTTCATTACAAGTTATGTATATCTTCATTATGTTTGATTTTCTATCCTTTAATTTATTGAAAAACCAGGAAAGAGTCTTTATATTCTATTGCTTCTCAATTAAGTCTCAAGTTATTCTAAATCTTCCTAGTGTATAGATATATAAATCTCAGTGGAAGCACATGTACCACGTGTTCAGATATTGCTGCATCTGACATACCCAATCCCAGTGTATTTTCATACTTTTATTCATATTTTTTAAGCCCCACAATAAAGCAGTGATGTAGGTAATCCCAAAATAATCTTTCTTTTAATTTTTGTTTTCTTCCCTAACCTCGGGGTTTTAGCTCCAGTAGCAATTTGCCTTTAATTCTTCCCTGTTTGTGATGTTTTTCTGTTTTGTTTTATTTTCTTGATTTTCAGATTTTTTGAAGGCTTGTTATCAAGCAGTTGTACTTCTAGAAGGAGTTTATTGGGCTATACCTGAAAAAACATCACATGATTTGGCTATGGTATTTATCAACAAAGTCATCCCTAGATCTCTCAGAAGCATTATTTTCTGAGTATATAATTTCCTTCAAATGTCTGTTTAGACTGCTTTCCTCCAGATACTGTAATTTTCATATCTCCCCGATGGAAGAATTAATTGTCTTTTCGTGTTAACTTAAACCAGTGGAACAGTGGAAGCGAGGAGAGAATCAGGTCTTGCATAGTAAATGAAAAAAAGATTGATTTACATATCTTGCAAAGTTTGCAATGACAGGTTTATCTATGTTGTAAAAAAATCAGGATTATCTAAAATGTTTCTGCAGTCCTCCTGTTCCCATAAATGATAATGCCTCTCTTGTGTAATTATGTATTCTTTTTTCCTCACCTTATTTTAGGAATGAATCAAAATAGCATGGTGAAAGGAGTCTGTTACTTCTGGCTCATCTAGAAATTTGAAAAAATATACAGTGAACAAGGTGAAGTCTTGCAGAAAGGGAGGACATGTTTTTGTGATTAAGACAAATTGCTCTTCTGGAAAGTTGGACTCCATCTTTATTTTCTCACACAATGACTGTGGCAAAGTCACTTGAATATTTTCTTAGGTGATCACTAATTGTCTGTTTCTTGGAGGTTTTATTATGAATGCCCTGGTTCAGATTTTCTAAAGTATTAGTGAAAGTACTTAGCATTGTCAGATGTTGCTGAAGGCAGAGGTTTGCTTGAATCCTTCATTCTAGTCCATGGACAAGGTGTCCTGTTTAAAAAAACCTAAATCTTTGAACTAAAACCAACATAATTCACTAACGGAGAACAAAAGCTTGCATTCTATTAGTTGATTTCTCTGAGTTCTGATGGCAGCCCTAAATTTTTTGCTGTACAGGTCGCTGTCTCTGTACCCAGCTTCACTCGTTTGAAGTGCTTGTTTCCTCCCCAGTTTTCAAACTGGGCCCAGTGTCATCTCCATGCCATGAGTGCTTTCCCTCCCCAGCCTTTGGTGTTCCCTTCACTCCCATTCTCCTTCCCCAGAGCTCTCATCTGTCTCTGACTCTTCCCTGTAGTCACGGTAGCAGGATTTTGTATCCTGCTTAGTAATACATTTTCTCACCCAATGCCTGTTTCCTCAGTTTCCTTCCCGATTCCCCAAATTTTTCCATTTCCTCCCCCCCGCAAATCCTGAAGATTTTCCTTTCTTTCCCAGCTAGTCCCAACTAATACCACATGCTTCTTCCTCACATTGCATAATACATATTCTGCCTGTCACCTCTCCTGCCATCCTGCTGAAGTAGCAACATGATGAGATTATTGAGAGCACAGGGAGAGACTTTTCTGCTTTGGGTTATGATAGTCAACCCAGCCCAAGGATACAATACCTGGAAGCAGCAATTACAAAAAGGTGACTCTGCCTCATAGCTTCACACCAAATCATGTTTGGGGTTGTTCTGTGGGGTGTGCGTTTTTAGGGTTGGCCAAAATTGGGCAGACTTTCATAAATGGTTGTGTGTATATCTTCTCTCTCTCTTCCTGTCTCATTTCAGAAACTTTACTGTAAAGCATTTGAGTGCTAAAAGTTTCCAAATAAAAGATTGTGAGAGTATTTCGCTGAAATTGCTGAATAGTTTTGGCTGGAGTTTTCAAAAATAAATTCAGCCTGAGGTAGACAGTTGGTATGGGAAATTTCAGCTAACAGAGTTGCAATTTGATTAAGTTTTGAGAAACTTGGAAGAGATTTGTGAGGTAATTAACCCTGGGTAATGTTACACATTTCACCAAATAGCATCCTCTGGGCAATATGCTTTGTCACTTAGTGTGGACCTTTCCCTTTGCTTTAAAATTGACTCTCTATAGAAACTAGCTAAGCTTCAGCACTTTAGAAGAGCTATTTTTATTTGGATTTTATAGAGTCAAAGAGTTTTTAAAATAATTTATTTGCATCCCTAGACTAGTTTGAAGTAACTTTCTACATTGGTAAAGCCTGCCAGCGGCATTTGTACTGAAAGTATCTCTGTTCTTCTATACTTGTTTATAGCTTCCACCAGGGATTTGTGCTAGAGTAGCACTGTCCCAGAGTTAGCTCTCTTAGAGGGTTTTAACCTACCACTGTCTGTAGCACCACACTGTGAATCTGCTTCCCTGGCGTGCAGTCTGTGTGGTAATAAACTCCTCCTGCCCAGTTTTCCTTAACTGCTTGTGTGAGCCTGACTTATTCACACTCTTGTTTTTCAAGCTCTGTCATTATTAAACTTTTCTTTATTCTTTTTTACCCCCTCCCACAGCTTTGCACTGGGTTTCAACCCAGGCTTACCTACATTACTGGAGGCCTTTTTTGTGGCTAATTGATGGTTCTTGATTCCTAGTGTATGCTGTGACCTGCTAAATCTATTCAAAACTGTTAAAAAGCCAGTTTCTTCTGTCATACAAGGTTCTCTGTGCTAGATAGATGTTCCAGCCATCTTTACTGTCTCAAAGTACAAGTATCTGCCTGGCCTTCAAATGCAAGACTTAATACTGCATATCAGGGCTATCAGGAGTTCCTAAACTCAACCTCCTAAATCCAAAATCTCTGCTGAAGGCAAGAAAGTACTTGACAAAGACAATTCTGATAATATGGAGCCTTTCTGTGCTCTGGTGATCTTGAAGAACTCAAAACAAAATGAAAGCAGCCAAAAAAAAAAAAAAAAAAAAAAGGGAGAAAAAACCCCAACTGTTTATCCTGGAAGATAATTAAGGCATAGAAAGTTTTTCCCCCACCACCTAATTCACCTAATTAGCTCCTATTACCTTGTGGACGGGTGAGTCAGGATAGAGAGGAGTGCTACCTCAAGACAAATTTCTTCATTGAATGTAATGTCTTGTTTCACACACCTGTTAAGAGGCAGTCTGCTAAAAACTGAGCAATGTCAAATTAACTGATTAAAATCAAGAATACCATGGAGTGAGTAGGGATTAATTTTATTCCCCCTCCCCAAGTCTTTTCATAACAAGAAAGAGGGGATATGAAGTTATGTCAGCAGGTAAGAAGTCCAAAATAACTAAAAGAATATTGTTCTCAAAGCTGTATTCAACCTGAAACAGGTTGTAGGCATTTAAAATATTTGCATAGTTTATAAACAGGACTGAACAAAGTTATGGAAGAAAAATCATTTGAAGCTTAAGAAATTCCAAAAGACAGGCCATAAATTGTTGGAGATGTCTGTAGTACTGGGTGAAATACCATTCCACTCTTCCCTAGGCAGTTGATTGCTGGCATTGGTCTATACCAGTTCCTTTTTAGGAACAGAATGGTGTCAAGCCCTAACAAGACCAAACAACTTTTGCTTGGAAAGGGATAAAGAAAACAAAAGTTTGGAGCAACAAAGTGACTACAGGGTACAACAAATGTGGTAAAAGGAAGGTCTGTTAAATTCAAAGTGTCAAAGATGAAAAAACAAGGTTTTTCCTCTGCTGTTCAGAGCACCCTCCAAAGCACTAGGAAGTGTTTGAAAATATTGAAGGACCTGATGGATACTTCCCTGGGCTTCTGTCAGGGACAGGTAGTTGAACTAAATGGACCTTGTGGTTTTACTTGTTGCTGCCACTTGTACATTCTTCAGTGGTTAAGTTCTTGAACATTTAGTTGATGGCAAAATTTGTCTAGAATGTGAAACCAACATTGTGATTTGATAATTAAGCATTGCATTTCTCTAACCCCAAAAAATCAGGGAGGACTATGTTAAAGAAAGAAGGAGGGGAAAAGACACTGTCTGTTTTCTCATCACAGTACCCTGAGAAAATATTTAGACTGTTATATAACCTTCGTAATGTTGTGTTCTATAAAATTGGCAAGAGCTTGGTTCTTAGTCTGAATGCTATGCTTGTTTTGAAATTTAAATAATAAACAATTTATATATGTATATATTTTAGCTTTAAAATCACATTTTGTCAGATTTGGCTTATGGTGGAATCAGCACTCTGTCCATCCAGTGAAAATATGAACAGGACCACACAAAATGCTTCCACTGTGTCATTACTTTTATGGCTGTTCCATTAAAATAAACTCCTTGCCACAAAACTTACTTGTCATTTCCCGCTTCTCAAAAATATCATAAATAGTGCAGTTTCTAAAGCTTTTCCACTTCTAGCCTTGGTATCTACTTGACTGTATTTGCAGCAGATCCCTTTATATTCCTTCCTTCCATTCCTTTTCCACCACGTACAATACTGGATCTTTAAAATACTTATTAAATGCACTTTTTGGCTAGTACTGCTTACAACTAAACCTAGGCTAGTCAGATAGTGTCATATTCATCTTGGCTTCTGTCATGATAGATTCCAAATAGAAAGTGCTTTACATCCTAATGAATGTACTCTTCTGTTCATGCCTACTTTTGAGATAAATTCTTGCATTGTATCTCGCTTCTGGTTGCAGGATGCTTTTTCTTTTTCTTCTGGATTTTATAGCTTGCTGAGTTCCACTGAAATAAAAAGACTTTATGGTGATTTGTTGGACTGGATAATTAGCTTATCTTGCTTGTATGTTTGTGCTATTGCCTATAATGTCTTCCTGTGACATTATCAGGTCTGCTAGGCTTTCTTAAATCATAAAAACTATGTGTTTATTCTTATTCAGCTTCCTTGATTCAAAACCATGTTTTGTTTCATCTCACAATGGGATTTTCCCTGTTTTTTGCAAACCGTGAGGATAATTCTATAATATGTATTTTCACTACTCCTGAAGTTTTTCTAAGTTACCTTTCTGAAGGCAAGTGAATTACCAGTATTTGTTTAGAAAGCATAGAATCCCGTTTACCAAATAGGCATTTTACTGTTTCTACTTCATATGTTCAAATGAAAATACACAAAATTTCTTCAAATGTCATCTTAAAAATCAAATTGTAGGTAGTAATACCTTCAAATCATTGATGCTCAGCAAGTAGTGAACTGAAAGTCTGGAGATTTAAGGTGAGTTGTTGTCATACAGATTTATTATTCGGTACTACTGACTTTAGTATTTCCTTTGGCATTATATCACCTGGCAGAATTATATCACCAGGTAGAATCATCAAGATGCTTTCCCTAGGACTCAGCTACAACATTGTGATTCAAAGATGGTCTCCCAAGCGATAAGAATACATCAGGTTGGTGTCCTGATAGGACTTTAGTTCTGTACAATACGCAGTAAAACATTACATGTGCTGTTAACATCCTTAACAGTTTTTGTTTTAAGCATCATACAAGGTGCATTTTAGTTTGCAAATCAACTTCACCTCCTAAAATCCTGGGATCAAATAACAGCACTCATTTGCTCATGCAATTGATGAATGCTTACAATATTTTGTTTTGTTTTTCTATGCAGTTAGTTGCTGAGACCTTCTCTTAATTTATGAGGGTGTGAATAATCTGCATTTACGTGCATTGCCAGTTCCCAAACTGGCAGGCAGGTAATGCTAACTCTCAGGGCTGTGCTTGAATGCATCAATTCTGCTGTGCTCTTACTCTCCACTGTGCCAGCAGCTGAGAGAGCTGTGAGTTTTCCTTGCTCTCAACATCTTCCTGGCTCATTGTCAGTCATGCCAACTGCACCAGCCAGTAAAAGCATATAGGAAAAATAAATTTGTCATAGGAAAAGTACAGAAAAATTATGACTTTCATGCAGGACTATAGTGAAGGCACTGTTATGCTACACTTTGCTAATGAGAAATAAATGGCTTTCAAAATCAGAGAGGGTTTGTCAATGACAGTGTGCTTAAGGACACTTCCACTCAAAGGCTCAGGAACAAAACTTCGTGTTTTTTAAAAGTGTTGTCATGCAGATGTTTTTATTAACTCTGTGAGTGGATGAGACAACTAGATATCATGGTGTTATATCCTCCTCAAAGGATTCTGTGTAAGTAATAGTAAAGGGATTTGCTGACTGATACAAGAAGATACAAGAGATGTTTGTAGCAAAAATTATGTTTGATGCTGAACTGTGCTTTCGAAAGTGGTTTATTCATTAAGGCTCCAAACATTCCTTTTTTTTTTTTTTTTTTTTTTTTGTAATTTAAAATGTAATATAAAATAAGAGAAAGTAAAATAGTTGTTGAAATATCTTTGTGACTGTTAGAGAAACTCAGCAGACTTCTGTCTTTTAATCTTCCCTAAACACACACTTGCCATTACCTCTTGCTATTATAGGGAGGCAAAATCAAACAGGGTCCTTCTTTTGTAGAATTTCACTTCCACTTACAAATAACAACCTCAGGATTTGTGTGACTATTTTGTGTCTAATTCTTGCAAAGAACTTTGCAGGACCATGCAGAAAGCATTGTGTTACTGAAGTCTTCAGCTTATGCTTAAAACTGCTAAGTCTTGGCATACTAATTGAAATAATGACAGTTTGCATTTTTTTTACTCATGCATGTTTAGCAGAATCAATCTCACAAAAGAGTACAGTAATTAAAATTTACATTAAATAATGGAGACAATATTTGTCAGAACTGTCTTAAAGAACTGTTGCAAGTGTGTCAATTATTTAACTTAAAGGCTAAGATCAAGCTTGTTAAATTGTATTTAATATATTGTTTTGATAAGTAAGAGACCTAATTTCTAGCCTTTACTCAAGACTTACTCCATGTGTCAGAGATGGCTATTGAGTAGAAAATTATTTTTATTGCCCTGGAAATAAGTATTGCATTGCATAGAATGGTGTCAGATTTTCTGAAGTCAAAACATTCAGAGAGTATAAAATGTGCAGAATGTTACAGCTGCTCAGCTTTGACATTTATGGACAATCCTGTCAAAACTTGCAGAAAAAAATCTCTACCAAAACCAAAGACTATATTTTCCATCCTGCTGAGGAGGCTTTCATTACCAAGAACACAGGAACAGTAATTTTCATGGGAAAAATACTCTCTGCATGGCAGAAAGCTTACAATGCCTTGTCTTATACCTGCTGTCTCCCTCATCCTGACACAAGGCAAGGAAGGGACGATGATGGCAAACTCCAAGTAAGACAAGAGATTGGTGTTGGTAAATTGCACCATATCAACTCCTTCCCTGACATGAAATACAGAATTGGTTTTAATCTAATGACGGAAAAACCTGTCGTTCCATTAGTTGAATGCTCGTGGCAATAGGAAGTCATATATCACTTACAGAAAGTTACTTATGGGAAGTAAGAAGCCAAGAGAAAAATATAATTTCTGCCATACAAAAATATGAATAATTATTTAAGTAGCACAAAAAGTAACACTAACATATTTAACGTAATACACTCTGATAAAGTCAGGCTATTACCAGTCCAGTTTACGACAGTCTTTCTCAAAGAGAGGAGACAATTGTCTTTTATCTTCAGAAGATAGGAAAAACAGAGTTTCTATTAATGTCATATCTATTTTGTTCAGTTGATTGCAGGATCTTTTCTAGGTGTGCTTATGCAAGCAGGTGAACTAAGAATGCCAGAAAAATGCTCTGTTTTGCTAGATTTTTGATGGCCCTTTAGGTACTTTAGTTAAAGCTATCTCTCCCTCTGTGGCAATTTAGAACTTGGCAGAAATGCTATATAGCGTAGCTGCAACAGCAGTGGATAATTTCTTCATCTTCTGGAATGTAGTTTTGGTGAGCAAAATTCCAGGAGATACCTGTACCAGAAAATCTGCAATAGTTTTTCGCTTGGGTCATCTGAGCCATGAGAAGCCCCAGGAACTTCATTTATTCCCATGTCTATATGAAATCTCTGGCCTACATCACAAAGTCAATTTTAAAGCTTAAATGCCATATATGCTTCCTAATACACTCTTTTAATCACCAGAATGCCCACTGTGTTATCTGACTATGTCAGAAAACCGTAGGACCTGTATTTCTACTGGTTCATTTCCTCTGGATATCTCTGGAATCACTCACATCTGATTTTAATTAGCAATGATGAGTCACTGGTGTGTGTGTTTATGAAAGAGCAGAGGAAAATACTCCAATCTGGTTGTTTGGACACATCTGTAGGAATTGGGAAAAATTCTTCTCTTTCCTCTGCTGGCCGGATTAATGTTTCCTTCAGGTGGGTCAGTTCAACATTAAAAATCAATAAACTATTTTCCTCCCTTTGCTTTCCTCATTCTTGTAAGCTTTCTGACCTGCCACACAAGTGATAGAAGTGAATTGAAATAGGTCTGGACCATAAAGGTTGGTGAACTCTGGCCCTGCACATTGGTGGTGGGTGAGGGAGAAGGAATTCCACCGTCCTGTCAAATCCCAGGGCAGGATCCTTCTCAAGGAGTGCTCCTTTCTGTAGCCCAGAGTCAGGTGTTTAAGGGCACATCTGCACCAGAGTCTGGGACTCTGGGCTGGCTGTGTCTTCACACCAGTCTTGGAGCTATCAGGACTGGAAACCACAGCACACATACTGGCGCTGTAGATTGACTGTCTGGAATTCTATGAGTGTTGTGTAAACGTACTCTAGTTTCAGGAGAAAAGCAAATCCATCTCCAAGGCGTTTGCTGTAGACAAGTCTCACACAGCTCCAAGCTGAAATCTCTCTCTTGGGGACTCTTTCCTGAAAGCCTGTTTCTCCCTGAACATTGCCAAGGAAACTGAGATAGCCAACTCGGGACTGTAGTTTCCATTGGCTGGCAAAACAGCAAAGTTTTGGGAACCGTTTCAGTGAGTACCTTCTGTGATATTTCTCTGTGACAGTGTATTTATGTTTATTGTGACTCAGGCTCAATGTTGTTGCCTTGCAAGTTCTGATAAGCTGGGAAAGGGAGGGCAATTTGAATTTTTTGACCCTTTTTGGTTTAGAGCCCTGAGGAAAGGTCATGTTACTACAGTGACAGGTGAGACCTCATCTAGAAATGAGCAGAAGGCTAAGCATAGAAGATCATTCTCAAGGATGGATGTTAGGGTTAGTCCCCACAGCCTTATTTGTAGGAGAAAGACAAAAGGGAAGAAGGAAAGTCCCACCGTATATGGCTCTGTATAAAATTGTGCTGTGGAATAGTAACTTAACGGGCTTTGCCTACTGAAATGTGTTTTAATAGAGTTCATATATTTCTGAGATTACGGTAAGTATGGCTGCTTCTCCTGAAAGGCTGCTTCCTTAACATGAAATCCCACACAAATAGACTAACCACAGATTGTGACTTTCACTTAAACTCCCTGGTTTTGGACATAATTCTAATTTTTATTTTGAATTGGCATAAACTGTTCTTGAGCAACTAACAACTTCTTTTCAGCTTACTCCACCCTCTTTTCCTGGATTTCTCATGCTTCTAAAGGGCAGGGAGAATACAGTTAATCATTTAATCACCAACTAAGAGGTTTTTAAGTTCTGTTGCTAGATGAGTTTTTTATGCAGATAGGTTTTACTTGGACCATAGGCCTGTACTTACCACCTTATTGTCGATCCTGTCTCTTTTAAGTACAGATAGAATGAGTCTCTCAATAATTAAAAAAATCTCACTTTTTTGCTACGGAAGACAGAGCTGACTGAGATTATAGGTCTGAGTGAGGATTTAGCTGCATCACTCATACAGAATTTGGT